TACTAAGATTTATCCCTACCCAAAAATCTAACGCAGATGGCGGTGTCACTGTGATGCTCACTGAGGTGATGGAGGCTTCAGCAGTAATACATCATAAAGAGTTCAGAAGAAGAGGATGCGAGCACTGGAACATGAGTTTTATTTTCCCGGCGTTTCGGATTCCGTCGGGAATCCTTAATCATAGGTGATGGTAGCATAGTCATAGTCTGCGTATGACTATGACCTGTTCCAGTCATGGACCTTTGGCTTACCCAAATTCACATGGAAGGGGTTAAAACCGAGTTAACGTCAGGACGGAGCATGCTTATTCCGTTTTACCGGTAATAATACGGCCACAGCAGATAAAGATACGATTTTCAGTAGGCTTTATGCTTGTCCAGTGCACGTATCCTCTTCTTCTGAACTGCTTCCTGGAACTCGTATATTCTACATAAGAAGAGCTGATGAAAACACGGGAATGGTCAACAGTAGGTAGTCATACCGCAATGCCCGGTTAGGGTGACCTGAGATCTGAACCGGGATCTAGGTATTCATGTATTTGACTAATTCGCTAACTTAACCATGGACCCGTGGCTACCAAAATTCACATGGAAGGGGCGCAAAACCGAGTTAATTCCTGGACGGGGTATGCTTACTCCGTTTTACCGGTAAAAATACGGCTCTAGCAGATAGTAATATGATTTTTGATCATCCAACAGACACGAGAAGCTGATTTTTCATAGATTACATAAAAGTTGTAATCAGTTGGGAAAGTATGAAGATATCTTAACCGCGAGCCTCCCACTTCACCCGACCCTACCGATAGGGGATGAGAAAGATCACAACGGGAAAATCACAGATGAACAAAAACGGACTGACAACGTAAGATTGTGAAGGCAGCTTTGGACTAGCATTAATTAACTAATTTGATAACATTAATTAAGATTTATACAGTCAGTTTCCATAATACTCCTTTTTTTCATAGTTCACTCGGTTGTAAGATCACTTGCGACAGATTTTGAACCCTTTTCAAAGCAAAAAATCAAAGCCCTGACAAATCATAACACAAGGTCAGCCTTTAGATCAACTTCCTTCTAGCTGAACGTCTCGGATTTCCTTACAATCAGGACCAAGTTAGGGCGAGATGACATAAAGAACAATTTCCCGTTCTCACGGTTGCAACATACGCTCGAGTTATGTGAGTTAGATAAACGAGCTGGATAAACAAGGTACGTTAGTTAGGTGAACAGCTGACGGATTACATGGCCGTTTGCCGGAGATGGGATCAGACACGAAGGGATGGAATGAAGAAAAAACACATTTTCGCTAGCATCAATAACAAGCACAATCGATCGAACGTTTTCAAAGGATGTGCATCTACGGAACGCAGGCGGCTATATCTTACATTCATATAAAAGTATTGACCTGATTGAGGCCTGTACATTTGCAGTTTGCTCGGTTGACTAATTTCACATTGACTCCTGAAGTACTAATGGAGTCGATCGAAGGCTGGATAACTTATGGACCTAGTACCTAACTTTTACCTAGCTTTGCCTTTTGGCAGGAAATCCGATCCGCAATTGAAAATATGTTTAACAACTAAGCGGATACGTACTGTGAATTTATCAAACCTCGTCATTCTACTGTGCAGTTGGAAAGATACACCTCGTACGTAGAGTGCCCACCTCAGTTCTGGTGTTTCAGAACCCGCAATACTTGACTTCCTTCTGCATATGCTCTGCGTCCGATGTTGGGAAGACTTAAGAAAATAACCGCAACTAACATGCTCAGTGACACTGGCTTCCAGGGCATAAATGAAGTTTTTATCTGATCACTCCGGATGATTGGAACACTACGTCCAACAAGACCGTCAAGAAGCATGTCAAAATGTGACGCCTTGCGTCAAGTCAGGCTGAGGCTATGCTCACATGGTTAGCCTCCGAACTGGTACAAGGTGTCTTCGCATTCGAATAAACAGCATAACTCTCTTCGGAGGGGTGTAGGTTGTATTTTTATCTTCCTTAGTCACTGGTGAGGGTTTTGGTGCAGCGCAGACGTGAAACAAGACCATATGCCCTACAATAGCACTTTCCTAAAGAGAAGGCTGAAGAAAGTGAGCTAGATTTCCTAATCATTGTTTCAATATTGATTCAATACGCGCTAGCAATGGAGACTCGTCTATCCCGGATCTACCCGTTGATGGCTCTGCCACCAAGACAGGCTGCCAGCGTCTTCAACAAAGAACCGTTATCGGGGAAAAACGAGGTTATCATCCCCGTGTTCTTTTTGACGGAAATTCACCTCCGATTGCAGCCTCAGAACAACAACTCCCGAGGGTCACTCGCTGTACTCTGGCTCGACTACGCGGTGGCTACTCAATGGCCCTTCGCTAGTACCAACACCGACTCGACCCGTCCACACCCGACTGCGGCCCTTCTCCCCATGACTGTCAGTATCTGTTCGCCTGCAGTTCCCGGCCAGGCACCCAACTCA